CTCCCCAGCTCCTTATTTGTTTTTATTTTATTTTTATTTTTTATTAATTTTATTGAGAAGCAAATAGCAATGAGACAGTTTTAAAACCAATTAGGACAGTTTCAATAATTAATACATTGCATATTGTTGTCTTCATAGTGGTTATTCATAGTCCAAGATGCAGACATGATATCCTGTCCATACACCATTAGTACAAATTAAAGCCTGTTTGTGGTTGGAAAACTTCTCACAAATGTCAGCCACATCATAATTTCTTTAGGATTCCATGTCAGGACATAGAGAGTTGCTCCATTATTTTTACAGCTGCAAGTCCCTTCTTGAAAAGGAAATGTCATTAAACATCTCAGTGTTCAGTATGTGAATGTTTAGGTTGACCCCAGTTGTAAGCTATTATAACAGTGCTACAAAGGATAAACTCATCCATCCACCATCCTAACAGGAGGGAAGTGCAAGGGGTGGCAAATTCAGAGTAGACATGTATTTTAATTCATGTGGGTGTTGCTAACTTTCCCTCCCAGATGTGGTAGCAGTCAAGTATCCTCATCGCCTTTTGACACAGGCAGGAATGTGGCTTCATCTTGACTTCTCTAGTAAAGAAAGACAATGTAGTTACCACATGATGCCTCCTATACCTAGATAATCACAGTCAGCAAGTGTCCTATGCTGACTCAGTCTTCAGATTCCTCGTAGGGAACTTGTTTCTTTGAATCTCAGCACTGCTGTGACTTATGCCTGGATAAGAAAGTAGGAACAGTGGATGGACAGAGTGGCAACATGCCAGATGCTGCCTCTTAGTCATTCCACTTTATCCTTGAACCAAGTATATAGAAGAAGCTTGCATTTTTAAAGATGAGAACACTGCAGCTCAGAAGGCATACCTGTCTCAGAAGGCAAGGTGTCAAGGTGTGACCCCAGCAGCCTGATCCTTAGCCCTGCTCTTTGCAATGTCCACTGTGCTTGCACCAGTGAACAGAAATATTTCAGCCCTCTCCTAAAACCTTGTAACTTTACTCTGCTCCCAAAATAGGCACAGAAACAACAGACACCAGTAAAATTTCTGTGGGGGGACAGGGCTGGCTTGATATGCCCAGATCAGGAAGATCCTGCTCCATTCCCAAGATGTATCTGTACTTATAACACATCTCAGTGCCTGTGAGGAACATAGGATTCTTTTCCTCACTGAAATGTGGCTCCTTCACTGAAGAGTAGACATAGAACAGAAGGAACTGATCTCAGAGCAAGTTGGAGCTTCAAAAAGTAGAATTTCTGGTATTTGCTCAGCTTAGCAGGACTTCTTATCATCCTTGACACAGAGTAATGAGAAGAGTGTTTTCCTCAGAAATTGGCAAGAACCTACAGAGAAATAAATGAGGTAGTAGTTAAGTGCTGGGCATTCAAAAGTCACAACATGGGTACACTAGAGAAACATGAAACCCTTATAAAGAGAAGAAATACAAATAGTGTGGGTAAGGACATGGTGTCTTGGTTTCTCTCAGCCTCAGGTTTCTCAACTATGAAATGGTGGGAATCACAAATACCTTTTAAGGCTTTGAAGTTCTCTCTGCAAATATCCTGGGAGAGGATATTTGCACCAGGATATTTCATTGGCACCAGCAGATCAAAACAGTATTAGCAAGAAGCGTTGAGCCTTCTGTGCCTTGATGAGTGTCAGTCTTATGTGTAGAATGTGGGTGACTTAACCACCTTTTAAGGGTGTTAAGAGATGAGGAAGCCTTCTGAAGCATAGACCCTGAGTGCTCAATAGGACTGTCCTATCATCTATACACTCTTGGGTGAGGCTTGGCTCCCTAGAGTAGCTTTCCCCATCAAGATGACTATGACTACTAAGTCACAGTTCTTATTCAGGATTCTGTGAAGACTTCAGTGAACCTCTTCAGAGGTTATGCCCAAAGTCTAGGATTTTGAGTAGCTAGGAATGTTCCTCTTTATCAAAAATACAGCAGTGAGGAGTAGAGTGCAGAACTCTACCACCCAGGCTCACCTCCCAGCTCATGGTCCACATCTTTTGACACTGAACAAGGATGGCCCTCTACAAAGTAACAAATTGAAATCATCTGGTCAAATGGCTAAACTATAAGACTTTTTATTTTCAATTTCTATGTAAGCTTTAATTCAAGGATAATTTTTTATATAATAGTACCTAGGCTTCAAAAGAACTTTCTTTTAGTATTTTTATGTTTATGTATAGTCTGAGAGCTTTTGATATTTGCATTCCCACCAAGACTGTTTAAAAAAACTATTCTCCAAAAGCTTCCAGTCAAACAAAGCATTCAATATAAGGACATTTCATTGGAGAAGCAGCTATTCAATTCATTTGCCCATTTTTGGGTGTAACTCTCCTGTTTTCCTATAGCTATTCGCTAGAGACTATCTTTTCTCTGGCATATATGTTGTTCTCTTTCAAAACCAAATGTCTGGGGGCCAGGGCGATGGCTCAGTAGAATAAACACTTCCCTGGCAAGTGCAAGGGCCTGAGTTTGATCTCCAGTTCCTCCAAAAAAAAAAAAAAAAAGTCTGTTGGTGTTTGAGTTTCTTTGTCTTTTGGTTGTGATTCATTCATTATTTATTTATGAATTTAGGAGAGGATCTACAGTGTCTAGAGGGTCTTGCTGCATACATTGGACTCTTAGAGATTCTCCTGTTTTCAGCCTCCCAAGCACTGGGATTATAAGCACGTGCCACCAAGCTCAGTCTCAATCACCATCTCAGTGAGCCTCAGGGGCAGGGCCAGCATGGAACACTGGGGATCAAACCCCAGCCACTGTGTTCTGCCTATGCAAGTGATTTGGCCCAATCAGCTATCTGGCCAGCCCTTGGTTTATTTTTCTACATATCTGTTCTTATATCAGTGCCATACTCCTTTTGTTACTGTAACTCTAAAGTGCAGCTTAAAGTCAGGTATCTTGATAACACCAGCATTACTCTTTTATTTTAGATTACCTTGACTATTTTGCATCTTTTCTGATTCTTGGTTAAACTTAGAATTTCTTTTGCTAGATCTTCCACTGGTCTTGTATTTTGTAGTATATGTGTTGTTCAATGACATTAAATTAGGACTTTGGATATCCAGATCTATGAAGTGAGGATCATGTCATTTTAAGGAAATAACTTCGCAGTAATTTGTCACAGCAGCATGCAAGACAAAAACAGTATAATGTGATATTGCTACCAGAATAATGTGAGAGAAAGTCCTAGTGGATCAAAACAACATGCTACTTTTTATTCACTCACATGTTACTGTGCATTGGGAGTTCTATGTACCACTATCTCTCAGGATGGCAGAATAAACCCCAATCCTGAGCATCTCTGTGTAAAAGGGAAACTAATCCATAGATTCCTGCACTGGCATGCATGCCCACTGATGATACCCCACCTCTGCTCAGAACTCAGCAGGTTTAAGGAATCTCATGACTGTTCTCTATGCTGTGTCCAGTGCACTCTATGATCAGAATGTGAAGAATAACAACTTGTGAAACATGAGGTCTGGCATGAGACTTTCAAGGAGATCACTGGCACCCAACTCTGTACTCTTCCATGTTATTCAACCTGTGTTAACCTTATTATCCTCAGTGGTATTAGAATATCGAAGAGCAATCCACATGAGGGTTAAATGTGCTAAGAAATGCAATGTGCTCAGCTCCAGTATGCACTCCCGGTTTGCACTCAGTCAGTGAAATTCTGTATTGATGGACTTGAGAAGACTCAACAACCATCAGGCTGAATGGTGACAGCTCTGTATTTCCTTGTAGTGGCAAGGACAGAGGAGTCCCTGCAAGTGATTCAGCCTGAAAAGCCAGTGCTGGTTGCTGCTGGAGAGCAGCCTTTCTGCCCTGCACTGTGGCCTCTGTGTTCCCTGTGGGGCCCATCCTGTGGTACAGAGGAGAAGGACAAAATCGGGAGTTAGTTTACAATTTCAAAGGAGGCCACTTCCCCCCTGTCACACAAATGTCAGATACCACACAGAGAAGCAACAGGGACTTTTCCATCCACATCAGGAATGTCACCCTAGCAGATGCTGGCACCTACTACTGTGTGAAGTTCCAGAAAACAGCTTATGGAGACATAGAGTTTCAGTCTGGAGGAGGCACTGAGTTGTCCGTGCATGGTGAGTACACTTCAGTCTTCTCTTATTTCCCAAAGTGTGACAGTAGGTCAGGAATCACACCTTGCATCTGTTAGCAGCAGCTAAGAAGCAGGGAGGATGTTGCATGCTCATGTTCGTGACTTGGTGTCACCCTTTATCAAGGCAGCTGAAGCCTGCAGCCAGTGTTATTGACTGAAGACCCCATATGATGTAAATAGATAACATCTGTGCCCCTTGGCTAGCTACTGAACAGCTTTCTACTTTTCCACTCTGCTCCTACCCTTTGGTTCCACAGAGAAGGACCCTGACAGTTGCAATAATCTGCCTAGTCCCACAGGTCCAATCTGACTTACTTCCCCCAGATAGAACTTCACTCTGAGTGTGAGTCCTTTCTTTTTTTCTTTTGCTATTTTAAAATAATTTTATTGAGAAACAAATAGCAATGAGACAGTTTCAAAACCGATTAGTATGACAGTTTCAAAAATTAATACATTCCACATTGTCATCTTTGTAATGGTTATTCATAGTAGATGCAGACATGATAGCCTGTCCAAGCATTATTTGTACAAATCTTTCTTCTCATTGAATTAAGATAAAGTAGTTGTATATCTATCCTAATTATTTTGTACAGACATACAAAATGGTCCTTCATTTGTATCTCCTTTTTTGTTTAGTTTTGTCAGAGATAGGTATTCCATTGCCATTTAAATATTGTAAGTTTGGGAATTCAGCAAAATAATCCATTATAGTCCAGTAGTCAATAATAATAATGGGTTATCTGTAGGACTCGCAATGCCAGAAGTTGTTGATTTGAACCTTTTACAGCTCAGCATATTAATATGGCTTTACTTTTTATACCTCATTTTTATATTTTCTGCGGGTGAGTCCTTTCTTAAGCCATGGCACCAAGGGCTGCTGTGTCCCAGGATCCCTTTGAAGGCCAGGGAAAGAGAAGACAGCTGGTCAGGATGAAATTCATCTCTTTCCAAGTCTGTTTCTCTCAGTATTGGGAGGCTAGGATTATGTTCATTTCCATTAAAGTACAATTAGTGAGAATGTTTCTCACAGTCTAAGCTTTCTTTTGTTTCCAATGCCATGGCTAAAGAAATGCCAAGATCCTGGGCCTTTGTCCTGTGTCTGTCTATCAAAACTTGTGTAGCAGGGACAGACTCTCACAGGTACATAAGGCTTTGAGAGGAGACAGGTGTTCTCTTTTAGGCAAAGATTACCCATGAGAGTGACATAAGGCTTCTTCACTGAGACAGCAAAGATGGTCACTTCATGTTTCCTATCCAAGGTCAGTGTTCCTTTTATTGTTTGAGTCTGGCATAGGAAAGACCTTTACACTCTCCAGCCCAATCTACTTACAGGTTGGAGTCTAAGGCTTACAAAGAGCCAGTCAGTACCAGGATTGGGAGGAGAACCCTGGTCTGAGTCTAGCCATGCTCCCTGCTGCCTCAGCATACACAGTTTCCATAGAGGGACTAAGTACACAGGAGGCACATGCTGGAGGTGCAGAACCACTGATCAGGGAACCAGTGTCCTGCACTTTATCTATTTCCCAGGAGATCAGGAATCCCTCACATCTAAAGTGTGTTTGTGGTTAGAAAACCTCTCACAAATGTCAGCCACATCATAATTTCTATCAGGATTCCATATCAGGACATTGTCTACTTTGCTTACTGAATAGATTTTTAGGAAAATAGGGAGAAAGTCACTTTTGGTCATTTTTTGATTTCAGTTTTTCTTGGTGATTGGCAGCTACTAAACTGGAACCACTTTTCCTGGTGTTTTTCACTGATTCTGCTATGCTTTTTTTTATTCCCCCCGCTTCTGCTATGCTTTTTGATGGTCAAAAGAATAAATGTGTAGAGGGCCAGGCAGATAGCTCAGTAGAATAAGCACTTGCCTGGGAAGCACAAGGCCCTGAGTTCAATCTCTGGTACCATTACATAAATAAATAAATAAATAAATGTATGATATGAGTAGTAATGGCCAGGTGTCATGTTAGTAGTCACAGGTACTGCTTATTAAATACCCACTCTATGCCAGGTACTGTGTTCTACAGCCATCCCTATGGACCTTCCCTGGTTCTGGTATTATCCACTTTTGACAGAAGTTGACACTGCACTGAGGCTTAGAAGTTAGAGAACACATACTAAGCAGCCTATGCAACAGCAGATGAACTTTGTCTTTATATCTGCCTCTAGTCTGTATCCCTTTGCCATCCTTGCAAGTCTCTGAACCTTGTTCACAACAGGGTCTCATTTTTGGACACCCTTATTGTGATAGTGGAAATACTAAAATATATTAATATACATCAGGCCAGTATTGGGATTCTCAGGAGCTTTTGATAAAAGGTAGCTGATCACAGCCTTTCTCACCTATAGATGACTGTCCTTCATCCATGACAGGCTGCACCTTACTGTGGCCTTCAAATGATTTCTGGGTGCTAGTGAGTGAGATAAATATTTATACACAAAAATGTATGTGATACTTTAATGCCCAGCAAATGTAATAGAAGGTGCTAGGTAATAACTGCCTCTTTAGAGATTTGAACTGTGCACAGGAGACTTCCATCTTTCTCTTATTTGTACTTGGAGAATGACAGAGCTACAGCCTGCTTAGCTGACCTGCCTCTGTTTCTTGTAATTAACTAGTGATTAAGATTTTTTTTGTGGTACCAGGGATTGAACTCAAGTCCTTGCGCTTGCCAGGGAAGCGCTTATTCCACTGAGCCATCTCCCTGGCCATGATTAAGAATTTAACCACCTTATGCTTACTCCATATTTAGAGATCTATGTTTCTACCTTTAAAATGATCCAGTGAATCTTCTAAATTCAGAAAAGTATGTCCTTAGCATTTTACTTTCAAACTCAGAAATTTAAACAGGTTATACCTACTTTAATATGTGTGCAAGGAAAAATATATAAGTACATGTGGAGAAAATTCTGAATGTTAATCAAGTTGGATTAAGGTTAGATCTTAAATGTGTTTCAGGGAAATCTCTCCTGTGTGTAATCCACTAAAAATGCTCCCTGAGCCTAATGTAATGTTCACTGTGGCTTGAGAAACAGAAATGGTGCTTCTGCTTCATAGATGGAATGCTAGGATGTGAGGCCACATCTCAGGATGGCTGCCCAAGTTCCAGCTTCATCCTACTACTTTAGCATCCTTTGTCCCATGTATTTACTTCTGACATGCTTTTCCTAGGAAGGCAACATTTTCCCAGAAGCCAGCAGGGAGCAAGTCATACATAGAGTGAAATCTGGCAATAACTTCTGTCCTATGATTATGCTGCCAGAGATCCCGGGTTCAGAGAAGAGGACTTTGCCCTCAGCCCTACATTTTACCTGTGTCTCCCATTCTTCACTATCTAGCTTGGTAGGTGTATTCACCTCTGGAGACAAGTTGCTATGGACACCACCTTCCCAGGTTTGGCAGGACGATTGACAATAATGGCTATGGCTGGTTCAATCATAGCACATGTGCTTACCATGATCAAGGGCCTATTTCTGCCACAGCAAAAGTGAGAACAACCATGATAATAACATAGAGGAAGGCTTTTCACATGGTCACTTGCTTGATGTTAGTGGTGGTCATCATAATTGCATTATTTGTCTATGAATGATCCTTTGCAGAGTTACAGACTCCATATTCCCATGATGCATGCATACCCATGATTACAGAAGCACAATTCATAACAGCTAGATAATGATACTGGCCTATATTTCTATGGAGGGATGAAATGTATTTATGCACAATGGAGTACTATTCTGCCATTAAGAATATAAACTTGAGTCATTTGGAGAAAAATGAACACACATTGAGACCATGTTCAGTGAAATAAATTAGTTACACAATACAAATGTAAAATTTGAAAAGGATTTTTTTTCTTTTTGAAGGTGAAGAGTTTAGATGAGGACCAGATGCTGGATGATCTTAATGGTCACATCAGGAGCTCCATTTTGTCCTGGTTTATGGACCAACAATATTCACAACCTTACTGCACACTGACTGCATACAAATTTCCATTTATCACTGTTTTCCTTTCCTACTTCCATTGTCCTAAGAGTTAACAGTTTTACAGAAAGGGGAACAAGGGCAGGGTGAACAATGAGAGATGTTGTTGACTTCTACCCTTAGAAAAGATCATTAGCCTAAACTAATCAAGGTAAATCTGAGGTCCTGAGTATATGGCCAGCACTAGCCTATAAGGCATATTTGTGCTAAGAAATGTTTGCCAGTGACTAGATATTGTCCTAAAAACCAACAGTTCATGAAGGTTGATAATTCTGTAACTAAATAATGTATTATTTTCTTCTCATTTAAACCCAGTAGCAGTTATTGACTCCCAAAATGTCCAGATTCCACCTAAGATGTACTCTGTTGTAAGCTTCCTCTGTTAAGTCAACATTAGGTCACAGATTTGCCCTGCCTATAGGAAGAGTAGTAACAAAAACTGGAAAACAAAAATTTTAATAAGAGACATGCAGGGCCAGGGAGATAGCTTAGTAGAATAAGCACCTGCATGGCAAGTGCAAGGTCCTGAGTTCAATCCCTAGTACTGAAAAAAAAGTTATAAGAGACATGGAATCCTCAGGATCACATCTACTAATCACTTAGGTAAGCACATGTAGGGCAAATAGAGTACAAAGTAGATGATCAGATGATTAAGAACTTTTTTCTACAAAATTCATATTATTATGACAGCTAATAAAATTAACCTTAATTTCCTCCAATAATCACATGTATATTCAAATTTTTCAAAATTCCTTTGATATATTCCTGTTTCAAAAA